CCTTTGGTACTACAAGCCAGCCTGAGTTCTTTTAACAAACCTCCCAGAGGCTCAAGTGACACTAAAGTAGTGATGATTTCACCATTAGCAGACTGAGCTACAAACGAGATGGCATCACAGAAATGAACAACTCTTATATTCTACTATTAATCTTATACATAAATACACGTTCATTTTAAATGAGTACCATTGTAAAGGAATATCTAATTGAGGCCCAGTACCCTTTTTTTAGTCACAGGCTGTGACCATGGTTAGAAGTGCAGCTAGTATGAAAGCAAAATTATATTAATGGGAAGAAACTTCTTGCACCAAATCCATCAGGAAAGAACTTAAAATTATTTACAGAAAGAAATATTCAAATTGCAAAATAATTCGATTGTATTGTCACTCATCTAACTAGCTGTTCTTTTTAACTTGATTTATTGAACTTGAACAGCAGTGGTTTCCCTTGTGGTAGTGGCTGCCGATGTCTAGGACCCAGTTCAACTTGTAGCCGCAAAAATACTGTACAGCAGGAAGTTGTTTCAGAAGTTCTATATTTTCTGCTTTCATAGCATTGGCAGACTTCATTTTCTGGAAATGACCCTAGAAGTATAATGAATTGACAGTCTGGGTACATCTTTACAGTATATATATCTTTCTCCATACTGTCTGGAATTATTTACATTACAGCATCTAATTCCAATATTGCTGTTTCTGGCGTGCTTTAATGATCAGAACGTGATGATAACTTGGAAAATTATATTTTTTTCCATATAAGATGAGAAACGAACATAATTACTTGCTCCCACACACATACATACCTGCATCTGTTATAAATGTAGCACTAAGCTCTGAAATCTTACATTTAAAAAAATCCTATTGCAGGAGGTTTTGTGCTTCTAAAAATGTTTTCTGTAGCATTTTTCATATACCAAAGCATTTAGGCAGGCTTGTTGTATGGGTTCTCAGATCTTTGGAAACACCTGTACAGAATAGGGGGTGGATAATCAAGCAGTAGTCTTATAGAACTTGAGTGCCACTGGGCTATTGATAAAATGCCACACAGCTTCTAAACTCAAAAAGAGCAGAGCTCCAGAGACTCTCTGCTGTAATTGAGCGGTAGCCCAGCACCATATCAGCCTATCTCCAGAGCACTGAAACCTGTCTGCTGCAGGGGTTCAGCCTCCTTCAGAGCAGTGCCAGTCAGTGCTGCAGTTCCCTTCCAAGATTAACCCAGACGCCAGGTGACTGCGATATGAAACCACTGGTCATAACACACAGCCAAAAGATACCTTCCTTCTCGTGTTGAAAGGCATTTCAGTTTTGACTGTAAAATTTGACAGCTTGGCCATTATTTTTATAAGAAGAAAGTGAAGCACAACAAAACATCCCTCTGTGCATTAAAATTAATACAGTTTCTTGTGTATTCCTAGAGAATTCTGTCAAATTCACTGCAAAATGTATTTGTTAAAATCAGATATCCTTCACTCACTCATCAGTAGGTCAAATAGCAATTAGTTCTCTTCATCTCCATTTTCTCCTTCCTCCTCTTTAAGATACACCTGCAGAAGATGATCCGTCTCCCTGTGCCCCCCAGTCTGCGCATGGGCGGCAGTGTCAGAACGGCACCGAGTGCAAGGCAGGCTGGGAGGGACCTAAGCACGGCATTACGAACTTTGACAATTTTGCTTTTGCCATGCTGACGGTGTTTCAGTGCATCACGATGGAGGGCTGGACAGATGTGCTGTACTGGGTACGTATCCGAAAATGATAAGCCGACAAGCCTGCTCGTGTGCTATGGATATGTTGAAACTTTTCAGGGCTTTAGCTGTCTTGCTTGTTCTATATAGTGAAGGCATGGCTACTAGCATGGAGTTTTAATTAACTCAGAATATTAATGGATAAAATGGGAGGGTTTATCTGATGCAGTTAAATCAAATGTAAATGTTGACTTTCCATTGATATTTTAATGTTGAAAGATGGCATGTGGCTTATTGGTTTGAAGATTTGCAATATACCTTTGTTGAGCAGAATGTCATGTAAAGACCATCTCTGCAGGAGTGAAATATCTCGAACATCTCCAGGTTACTGATGTAGAAGTGTTTGTGACAGATAACTGTGTGCCCTACCCATGGCATTTATGTTACAAAGGCACTATGCTGATCAGCTCACAGATTTTATAAGAAGGGCCTCAAAAATCCCTTTTCGTGCCAGCACTACTCCCGATTATGACTTTTATCATAATAGTATTAGAATAAATTCTCCTAACTCTGATACTGGTATCTATCAATGTTAGAAGTTTAGCCAAAACATTGTATTATCTTTAATCTAAATGCAATATCATCTTGTCTTTTACCCTAATTCTGGAAGTTTCAATAGCTTTAGTTTCTACCTTGTAATTCCTAATGTGTTGGGAAATTCAGTGGCAATATGATTATATTATAGGTGTTAAAATCAGATTTAGCCTTCACCTGTAAACCAGATATAAATCTGTTTCTGGACTCAGCTCTTACCATCAACTTTTGCAGCAATAAGTTATGGTCTAGGAATTTAATTCACGAACAGCTCAGTCACATCTGTATAAGGCTAGCCCCAACTCTGACTGACTTTGGTGACATCTGGTTCTCCAAGATGGTAGGATGTGCTACAATGCATGATGGAGTTTAACTCAAGAAGACCCAAAGCTCACAAAAGGATAATCTGGACTTGAGGCAGTTGCACTGTTAATCAACATCAGTTTCTCTCTTAAACATGAGCCTGAAGCTGCCTTCCATCCAGCAGGGAGTTAGAGTTTACAAGATTTCCCTTTGAAGATTTAGCTTATGTGCAATAGATAGTCTCTATGTGGAACAGTTGTCTCTTTTTCCTCGTAAATTTAGATTAGAATTGTGACTCTAGCTTCCTTCTAATGCCTGAGATACAGGGCAGAGATCAAACCGCAAGGGGAGTCTGTGTCTCAGAGCACAAAAATTGCCTTTACTTGAAAAGTGGGTATAGATTAAGAAAATAATGAAGAAAAACAGAAGTTAAGTCAGAAAAGGAACTGGGCAAGACCACTCCATGGCTCAACTATGGTTATATATAATACACCTGTCTTTTTATCACATTTAGATCACATTCCTCCAGTCTTTGATTGAGAGGATTTATAGATAGTTCAGGGGAAATAGGAGAGAGTAAAAGATATCAGAAATAAACATTAAAATAGTTTTGCCAGTGTATACCATTTGGTATTGTGAAACCTATCCACAAGTTATCATCTTTTTCTCCAAAAGCAGGTGTTATAAAAGACCCTGCCAATCCCCACACTTTTGGGTCCATGCGTCATTTGCATGACTGGATGTGAATCATTCAGAACTCAGTTATCAATTACCTAATAAGAGATGCCAAAAGCGTATACTCACTGCTAAATGATTTTCTACCACAACTGCTGCAGGAGGTCTGATTTTTTTTTTTTTTTTTTATGGTACCCCTGCAACAACCTGGATTTTAGCTGTTGGCTTTTATTTGGTATTCAGCCTTTTTTTTTTCACTGATTTCCTGAGCTGTTCTTTTTTCTTTAGCAACAATATAGTGAACTGAGACCTGAAATTAATACAGATTGATGGTCATTTTTAGAGGCATCCATATACCTAGCCTTTCAGATTATGGCTTTGATAGAATGCTTGCTTTGGAAACAAAAGACATTTTTGTTGCCACCAGTTCCCAGTTATTCCCAGACAAGACTACAAAAGATAAGAGTTATCACTGCAGATAAAACTTCAATAATTGAGGAGGAAATTTAGTTTGTAAAGAAAAAAAAAAAATATATCACCTATGTTTAGAGGCCATGAAATACAAAATTTGAGTAAATACCTGAACCTGAGCTGACAGACATACTTGGTTAAGCTGCTGTAAACAATTCTAGGAGTACTGTTGTCCCATATGACTTTTTGCCTCTCTGTGTTCTATTGACAAAGTGGATAGAAGTCAGCTCTGATCAGTGTTTGCCATACAGTAAAGAAGGTATCTGAGATGCAACGTGTATTTCCTTCTGCAGAGAGGTCTGTGCTACTCTGGGGGCAGATGTTAATTGGGTAATTACTACCAGGCACACCTATGAGGAGCATTGTGGCTTTAATATTTACATGTAGAAACAGTCTGTAAACATTCACACTGTAATTTCATACATGGGTGTTTCAAACCATGTCTATCCTGGTTTATACAGCAAACTTCATAGTCCATGAAAAGGGCATTCTAGCTTAAGCTAGCCAGATCAAAAGGAAGAGTACTTCTGCATAGTAAAGAATAGAAAAGATGCAACATTTCCATTTCTGAGAGTGAAGGAAGAATTTTGGTAAGTGGGGTAGAATATAAATATTTATTTTAAACTTAGTGTGAGCCACTGTTTCTTTAGTGAAGTCTGACTCATATATAACTCTACTCCCTGGCCTTCGCCTTTTCAGCCAAGGAAGAACAGACTTGTCATAGACTACCCATTGGGGGCTGCATCTCCACAAGAGTGCAGACATAGGAGGTTATTCTCTTCCCAGAGAAAAATCTCCTGGATCCACAGTGAGGTCATGGAAATTAAAATTCTCTTTATTAGGAAATAAATCTGCACAGATAATTAAATTAGAAATCCAGACTTAAAGATCCCCTCTCTCCAACTACATCCTGAGATAGAGAGGTTGTCCATTGTACACTGAAAGGAAAGTACAGATTAAAGAAAAGTATAAGAAAATGTTGTCTGCAAATCAGACAATTTCATGGCTGAAAATTTTAGTTGATGATTTTCAGAGATCACTCCTTAAACTTAATGATGTAAGCTAATGGGTTAATATTAAAAGCACTAAGCATTCAAAGTTCAAGCAGACTGTTAGGTTCTTAGCTCCTCTGCAATTCAGGATAGATACCAAGGTTTGAATCTGGGGTCCTGCTGGGGTCGATGGCAAAATACCAACTAATTTCAAAAGGTCAGGATGCCACCTCCTATTTTGTAAAATCTTGATCATGCTGTTGAGATTTTCCCCATGCAGTCATGTGTACAACATGAGGACTTACAGATGCCTAATCAGGGCCTTGGTGTCCATTGTGATAGTCTTCCAAGGACATACATGTGGACGTAGGGAGTTTTATTTCCTCCCTCCTTAAATCTGAAAAAAAGAGCCTGAGCTAAAACTCAGCAGAACAAACAGATAAAAGCTCTGGTCTGAATTACCCACCTGGAAATGTTTAGACAATGGAGCAATTCCCTTGGTTCGAACTTTTCTATAAGTGCTTTTCAATTATATCTTCCTATTTTCTGAAAAATAACTTTTGAAAGGTACCTAGATCTCTGCATTCCTCTCAGTGGGAACGGAGGGAGCTTAGCACATTTCAGCATGTTGCCCTGAAAAATATACTAGTAGTTTCATGAAACCTATGTCTGTCTTGTGCCACACTTTGCAAGGTTAAACTTGCATGCTTCCAAGTCAGAAAGCTGTATGACCTTCCACAAGCCCTGGACTCCTAATCCACTTAACTTTTCAGATTTTACCTTCAGTTTCCTGTTTCCTTCTTCATGCTTTTCCTCATACCTTCTCCAGCTTTTCACCTCTGTAATGAAGCCTGTCTCCTCTTTCACGGAGTATTATTTCCCAGCCTGTGATCCAAATCCTCGAAAAAGATAATCAGAGACAGGAAAGCAATAAACTTTTATTCCCTAGAAGGACTTGACATCAATAAGATCAATACGCTTTCCAATCTCCTCTCTCGCTCAGCAGATAAGACTTGTGAGTAGATTGGCTTCTTTCGAAATGTGAAAGAAAAATGTTAGGGAAAAGATTTTGACACCGCTATAGTGGCAAGTAAGATAATAATCTACAAGGAGCCAAATTTTTAATGTGAAATAACTATATTGGACGGATGAAAATCTGTGCAAAACAGCCTCGTTGGACTCTTTGCTGAAGAATTGATCTTTGTTAAAGGGAGCATTAAGTGTTTATAGGAGCACATTTCCTATACTGCCTCAGTCTTACAAGGTTTACTTTGTCCCAGTATAACTGCCAGGTGGCCTTTTCTCATGCACTCAGTTCACAGAATAATTTGAGTAGACAGGCACCTCTTATGATATGTCACATCATAATTTTTCCTGTGCATTGCAGAAAGATTGTGTTTATTATTCTCAAAACTCTCCTTAATGCATGATCAGCCAGCATTAGCAGCTCACTCCCTTGTGCAGGAACCATGGCTCATTACTGAAGACCCCCTGTTTTGGAAACTTCTAGCAGCAGATGCAAATCCAAATGTTACAAATTGAGTCATTTGGTATTTTGTAATCAGTCTCTGCTGCAGTCCGTTATTTCTTATTGTCTTGTTGACTAAGGAGGAAAATTAATCCCTGTGCAGTTTGTAACATCCGGTTTAAGTATTTGTAGACATTTGTTGTCTTCCCTTCTAATCTGAGCAGATTCAGTTCTTTCAACCTTCCCTAATGGGTCTTCTTTTTAATTATTTTTAATCAGCTTGTTACCATCCTTTAGGGGAAGCTTCACTTCAGAGTTAAGTATCATTCGGACAGTGCCCTGTCTCTAGAAAGGCTTTCATCTTTATGTGAAATGTGCTTTCTGCAGCTGGAGCCCTGTGACACTGCATGCAAAACTGCCTACTGCAGCCTCAGTTTTATGTGTCTCTCCACTCCCCTGCATCTAAGCAATTGCATATATAAATGAAAAAAGTGCAGAGCAAGTGCAAAACGCAACCGTACGTTGTTGCATTGGGCTGTTTACGCTGCTG